AAAACAAACAAAGAAAACTGGAAGCCTATCCCCGGGGTGTCCAGAGTCCTGAGAGGGTGGAGGAACCTGGCTATCTGGCACGAGGGAGGGGTTCTTCCAGCTCAGGCAGGACTAGGTCTGGACTCAGGAGCTGGCTTCCAGCAACAAGGCCTGGGCAGAAAAGGGAGGGCTGTGAAGTGTCCATGGCCTTGGCCACGAAGGTCTCCTCCCGCCCACATTTACCCAATGGCTGCAGGCCTCCAGCTGGTGGTGAGGTGAGCGGACAAGGGGGAGGTTGAAGGTCATCAGAGACAGCCCTCCCTCTGACTTAGGTTGGGCTGTTGTTCCTCCAGCACTCAGAGGACCTCAGCCTTCTCCTGGGTATATTGTCCAGGCCACTCCCCTTGTGGCCTCCCTGGGTGGCCACAAGGGCAGGGACTTGGCACTCTCAAAGGTGGCCCCAGGGGCCCCATCCTTGATTAGGGGCATTTCATGAATTGCCTTCCTATCAGCGAACGCATTGCACTGTACTAATGCAATATCTTTTTGGTCGTTGTTGTTAACTCATTTTGAACCTACATAAATTTGCTTAAAAGGAAATCTTATCTCACCACCATCCTGAGGAATGAGATCCATGAAACCAGTGGTTTGACATTCTAGCCGCGGTTTCTTGTCATCCTTATGTAAATAAAGGCATGTCTGTTAAAACATAAAGCGATGTCCCTCCCAAAGACATCTCTCGTGTGTCTGGGCCTCCGAGAATGGTGATGTGGTAAGAGGGACCACCCCAGACCAGGGCCATGGTGGGGAGACTCGCAGGTTTATGAGGAAGTCCACACAGGTGGACAGTGTTCACTTAACAAACATGGCTGGACATGGTGGTTCACGCCTGTAATCCCAGCACTTTGGGAGGCCGAGGCGGGAGGATTCCTTGAGCCCAGGAGTTCGAGACTAGCCTGGGCAACACAGTGAGACCGCGTATCTACAAAAAATTTTAAAAATTAGTCAAGCGTGGTGGCACGTTCTTGTAGTGCCAGTTACTTGGAAGGCTGAGGCAGAAGGATTGCCTGAACCCAGGAGATCTAGGCTGTAGTGAGCTGTGATCATGCCACTGCACTCCAGCCTGGGCAACAGAGTGAGACCCCAACTCAAAACAGCAACAAAAACAATATCATCTGTCCAGGAAAGTATGGCGGTGCAAACCTGATAGATATTGGGGTCCCTGTGGCTTTGGGCTTGTCACTGGATGTCTCTGAGCCTTAGTAGCCATCTCTGAAAAGAGGACCACAATAATACCCACTCGACAGGGTGCTGGCTGGTGCGTAGGTGTGGTGACAGCAGTCAGGTCCTCGTACATACGCTGTGGATCTCTGTGCCCATGGAGCCCTTTTCTCTTGGCTTGGGTGCGAGGTGCTGGTTCCTCTATGCCCCCAATGCACATGCCTCAGCCATAGCCCAGGGAGGAGCGTATGTGTGTCAGGGTAGGTGGCTTCTCCTGAAATGTGGCTCCATCTCTTCCTTCCCCCGTGACTGGGCAGGGGGTGACAGAGGCCTGGCTGAGGGCCTCCTGAGCTGTGGATTTGTGGGGGGAAGGGTTGTGGGCGGGCCTGGCTGGGTCCCAGCATTCTGGGCCTGGTCCCCCTTTGCCCGGTTGGCCCTCCCCGCAGTCCTGTGAGTCAGACATGAGGGGGCGGGCACACATGTGTCTGCAGCCAGTGCCTGCTGCCCTGGCCTAAGCTACACTTGGGGGGGGGCACTTTGGGGCTGGTGGATTGTGGGGCTGGGCTGTGTAGGGGAGACCATGCTTGTCTCTATAGGGGGATGCCTTCTGGGGGGAGGGGCAGAGATAGGTCCCTCTGGAGCCCCTGGTCACCGCCTGTGAGGCTGGAGGGCAGGGGACAGCAGGGGCTGGAGAGGCCAGGAGTGCAGGGCTGACAGGCACATGGGGAAGGGACTCAGAGTTCTGTGTGGGACCTCAACCCCCGGCCTTCTCTTTTTTCTGCCTCTGTACTGTCCTTTGTCTCCTGTGCGTCTCTTGTGGGTCTTGAGCTTGTGTGTGTGTTGGGAGAAGAGACTGAGCAAGTGGAGGGGACTGGCTGGGGAGGGCCTGAGCTGTTCTGTCTCTTTGCTTTCTCCTTTGAGTGTATTCCAAATCCATCTCTCACTGTCCTCTCTGTGCCCTGCCTCTCCTGTCTGTCCATCTGTCTGTCTCTGGGGAGGGAGGGGAAAGGGAAGTCCACTGCCCCAGGCCTCGGGCTCCCTCTCCTTGGGAAGCTCTGAGAGCCCTCTTCGCCCCATCCCCGCAGGTACCCTAGCCCTGGCCCCTTTCCCAGCCAGCCCCTGGCCTTAAGGATGAGTATGTTCTGGACATGCTACTCCCAGGGAGGAGGCAGGCGCCCACCCCCTCAGAGGCCTGAAAGGAAGACAATGCAAGCTCCTTTTCTGGAATCTTTCAAGAAGCATCTAGAAGGAAACTCCCTTCCCTCACCTGTTGGCACAAGTTTTAGGAAAGGGGAGGGTTGTGGCTAGACACCATCTTCCAACCTCCCCCCAGCCTCTAAGGACAGCACAGCCTCTCCGTTGCTGTCACCAGAAACCCACCC